GCTCTCCCACTGTACGATCAGACAGGGGGTGGTGAATAACAGGCTGGAGGAAAGATGACCAGCACACACACCCCAGCGCATATGCACGCGCACACACAGAGAGACTCAGAATTCAGGGGGCTGGGAGAAAGGAGGGGGCTACTTTGCACCAGAAGGAGGCACAGAACAGCTCTGTGTTGCCTTACAGGCATAATAGAAGGCCAAAGACAAAGGGCTCAGTGTTTTTTTGCAGAGGGCGGGGGAAGGAAGGAGATAGTGCAGGCATTCTTTGGCTGTGGAGCCAACAGCTGCCCCCCCCCTTACACCCCCGGCTGCATTTCAGCATCTGCAGCTGCAGGGATCTGGGACTCGGTGGTTGCAGCCGGTATAAGCCGCCTCCACCACGGCCTTTCTGAGCGCCGGCCATAGATGCGACCATCACTGCTTCCGAAGACCTGTCATTGGAGGCCACAAGAGGGGAGAGTTGCTCTTGCGCTCAGATCCTGTTTCTCATGCGGGCATCTGGGTGCCCACCGCGAGAACAGGATGCTGGACTAGATGGGCCGCTGGCCTGATCCTGCAGGCTCTTCTTATATTCTAACGTAGAATGTGGTGCTTGTTGGCAGGATCCCCTGTCAGGGTTTTTGAATTCTTGAACCACGCTTTGTAACTTTTGCTTGCTCCCTGCAAGTCTACGTGGGGCTGCCCTTGAAGCTGACCCAGAAACTCCAGCGGGTGCAGAATGCCGCGGCGAGACTCCTTACGGGGTCCTTGCCGCGGGATCACATCCATCCAGTGCTTTACCAACTGCACTGGCTCCCGGTGGAGTACAGGGTCAGGTTTAAGGTGCTGGTTTTGACCTTTAAAGCCCTATGCGACCTAGGACCCATGTACCCACGGGACCGCCTCTCCTGGTATGCACCGCGGAGGACCTTAAGGTCCACCAATGACAACACCTTGGAGGTCCCAAGTCACAATGTGGTTAGATTGGTCTCAACTAGGGCCAGGGCCTTTTCAGTACTGGCCCCGACGTGGTGGAAAGCTCTGTCACAAGAGACTAGGGCCCTGCAGGACTTGACATCTTTCCGCAGGGCCTGCAAGGCGGAGCTGTTCCGCCTGGCCTTTGGTTTGGACTCAGTCTGACCCTTATGTTTCCCTCCCCTTATGGTCTTGATCTATGGGCTACTATTAAAATGAGGCTGCATTTTAAATTATATTTTAACCTGTATTTTAAATTGGTTTTTTGTGTGTGTGTTTTTAATTTTACTGGTGTTAGCTGCCCTGAGCCTGGCTCTGGCTGGGGAGGGCGGGTATAAATAAATTTTATTATTATTATTATTATTACTTTATGGGGAGCGTTACAGCTCAGTTTTGCATGCAGAAGGAGCCGATGGCATTTCCAGACAGGACCAGAGACGTCCCGTCCCCCCAACTAGAAAGCCCGAAGAGCTGCTGCCAGTCCACGTCGACAACACTGAGCTAGACACACTCAGTGGTCTGACAGTACAAGTCAGCTTTCTGCTGAAACTGGCTGTTTATCCCAGGCCATGAGGACTAGAAACTTGACTTGTTTTCCAGGAAAAGGGCTGCAGCTCAGAGTTCCAGGTTCAGTCCCTGTTGCCTCTCAGCTGTACCAAAGACTCCCTGGCGATCCGCTGCCAGTCAGTGCAGGCATCCCTGAGCTCAGCGGACCCACAGTCTGACTTGGAATAAGGCAGCCTAACATCTTCCTGGAGCCAGTATTGGTTTGATTTCATTTACGACTGCAGCTGTGCCCCTGTGGCCAAAAACATCCCTGTGACACCAGTCCTTAAACTTGGCCCGGGACGTTGGGGTGGCCACCAGCAGGAACTCCTGGCAGGCCCGTTGGCGAAGGAAGGGTCTTGAACCCAGTTCCATTCCCCAGTTCCCCAAGTTGCATCTCTTCCCCCCTTCCCCTTCGTTCCCCACGTGGAGTTTGGCAACTGACCGGGACCCTCACCAGAGCCACAAACGGGAACGGATGACTCAGGCCGAGGAACAAGCGTCCCTGGGGGCTTGGGCAAAGCCAGATTTCCTCTCGGCCCCATCAAATATGGCAGGAGGAAGCTGGGGGCCTTCAAGAGGGAGCGACTGGCCTGGAGCAGGTTGGGCAGACGTTTCTCCGGATGAGGTCATGGAGGGCCGGCTGGTTGGAGCTGGACCCCGATCTGCCGCCAAAGCCGGTCTGCTCCCCTTTGCCAAGCCAGGAATTCCTTTGCCACCTCCAGGCTGAAAGGCTTTCCATCCACACTTGTCCAAAACGGATTGGGGGGGGGCAAGTAGTGGTGCTCTGTGTTCTTGGCTGGTTCTTTATTTGTTTGGGAAAAGCCAGGTGCACGCAGCCGCCTAATTAATGCAAGGAGGAAAACAGCTCTCTCTCTCTCTCGCTTGCTCTCTGTCGTTGTTTGCTTATTTATTTACACACACACACACACACACCTTTTTACATTTCAGCAATGTATGCAAAATGCATCATAAAACACTGCTCCTTGAAATCAGAAAAGGGTGAGGAGAAGGAATAGAAACCCGAAGAGGAACTCTCTTAGGTTTCATAGAACTACAGAAATCTAGTGTTGGCAGGGGACCCCTAGCGGTCATCTAGCCCAACCCCCGTGCGATGCAGATGGTCTTGTTGTCCCCTTTCTGCGTGTGTGTGTGTGTGTGTGTGTGTGGAGAGAAAGAGAAACATGGAATCATAGATTTGGAAGGCACCCCAGCAGTCATCTAGTCCAACCCTCCACAATATAATCATCACAGCTAGAGAACCCTTGACAGTGACTCCATCATAATAATAATAATAATAATAATAATAATAATAATAATAATAATAATAATAATATATTTATTATTTATACCCCACCCATCTGGCTGGGCTTCCCCAGCCCCTCTGGGTGGCTTTCAACAAAATATTAAAATACCGTAATCCATCAAACATTAAAAGCTTCCCTAAACAGGGCTGCCTTCAGATGTCTTCTAAAAGTCTGGTAGAGGACATTCCACAAGGTGGGTGCCACCACTGAGAAGGCCCTCTGCCTGGTTCCCTGTAACTTGACTTCTCGCAGCGAGGGAACCTCCAGAAGGCCCTCGGCGCTGGACCTCAGTGTCCGGGCTGAACGATGGGGGTGGAGACGCTCCTTCAGGTATACCGGGCAGAGGCCATTTGGGGCTTTAAAGGTCAGCACCAACACTTTGAATTGTGCTCGGAAACGTACTGGGAGCCTGTATAGGTCTTTCAAGACCGATGTTATGTGGTCTCAGTCCCTCAGTCACCAGTCTAGCTGCCGCATTCTGGATTAATTGCAGTTTCCGGGTCACCTTCAAAGGTAGCCCCACATAGAGCACATTGCAGTAGTCCAAGCGGGAGATAACCAGAGCATTCACCACTCTGGTGAGTGAAATAAAGTTTGAGACTTTTTAGTCCAGAGAGAAAGTGAGCAAGAGGCAACACATTTAAACTTACTTCCCCCAGAAGGCAGGGGTGGCCACCATCTTGGGGGGGGGGCTTCAAAAGAGGGCGGGGCCAAGTCACGGAGAAGGAAAGGGCTATTGATGGCTAGTAGCCAGAATGGCTGGTTGGAGGCAGCATCACTTCTGAATCCCTGTTGCTGGAGGCGAGAGGGCTCTTGTGCTCAAATCCTGCTTATGGGCTCCCCAGAAGACAGGCATTGGGCTTGGCCGCTGTGAAAACCCGGTGCTGGGCTTAGATGGGCTACTGGCCTGATCCGGCAGGCTTTTCTTGCGCTCTTAGAACAGTGTACACTTCAAGAGCGCTCTCTATAAAATATAAATTCTTCCCCGCTTTTTGCTGGGGTTTTTTGGGGAGGTGGCGGCTGTGGCAGAATTGGGTGTGTGCCCATCCCAGTCGATTCTCAAGCTTTTCAGAGCTGGGGGGGGCGCCTTGTTGGGGAACTGCCCGGGGAGGCTCGCTCTCTGTTTCCTTTTGGCCGGATCTTTCCCTCCTCCTCGCAGTTCCTGGCAAAAGAGCGCAGCTCGCGATCTCTCCGGGTCGCAGCCTGCCCTTGCATTCCACGCAGGGTGCCTGGGGCCTTTCCGCCAGCAAGAGGCGGGCAGGCTCCCTCTGAAGGTCATCTCTGGGGGGGAGGGAAATGGCACCCGCCTCAAACGGAGCTTTTGTTCCGCCAGCCTTCGCTCCCCCAGTGGAAACGTTGGCCCTCTGCCGCCCCCCCCCCCCGAGAGTTCGCGTTCACAATTGCTGTAGTGAGCAGGTGGAGGTTGGGGCGAGAGCCAGGGAAGGGAGTAGGTGAGGGCAAGTCAGTGGATAAAACTATGCCCGGACAGAGATAGCAAAAAGTGTTTCTCCCTCTCTCTAGAACTCATATTCCAGTGCACAGTGAAACTATGGAACTCCCTGCCACAGGAAGCAGTGGGGACCCCCAACTTGGATGGCTTTAAGAGAATATAAGAACTTGTGGGCATACAAAGAAGCTGATCGCTGGGAGATTCAGGGCAGAGGGAATTGTTTTGTTGTTTGTTTATTACATTTGCCTACCACCTTGTACTTCCAACGAGCTCAAGGCGGTATATGTACGTGGTTCTCCTCTTCCCCCATTTCACCCTCACAACAACCCTGTGAGGTAGGTCAGGCTAAGAAATGGCAACTGGCCCCAGGTCATCCACGGAGATTCATGGTCGAGAGGGGATTCGAACGCTGGTCTCCCAGGTCCAGTGCTTTAACCACACCGGCTGCACTCAAGTCATTCTTCACCTAGTCTGTAGTTAAACTGTGGAACTCCCTCCCACTGGAGGCAGTGATGGCCTTTAAAAGAGGACGAGACAAATTCATGGAGGAGGAGAGGGCTATCGATGGCTACTAGCCCTGTTCTCTGCCATGGCTATTGGAGGCAGCAATGCTTCGGAATCCCAGTTGCCGGAAACTGCAGGGGGGAGGATGCGGCCCTGTGTTCGAATCCTGGATGCTGATTTCCCATCAAGCCCTTACGCTCCAGGCGTTAACTGCCTTTCTCTTCCTGCTCTCCCAGGTTCCATCCCGTCGGCGAAGCGTACCGGGATCCCAGCCCCGCGGGAGCTGTCGACTGCCTCGGGCAGAGAGAAGGCGGCCCTGAGACCCAGGAAGGCTCAGCCCAGCCCCACTTCCTCCGGGGCGCCGACGCCCACCAAGCACTCGCGCCCGGCCCCCAAGTGCAAGAATGAGGGGGACGCCGGCGATAAGGCCACGCTGGAGTCGCAGGTCAAGGAGCTGCTGGCCGAGGCCAAGGCGAAGGACTCGGAGATCACCAAGCTCCGGAGCGAGCTGAAGAAGCACCAGGACCGGGAATGGGTGCACTGCGAACTGGACCACCCCGCAGGGGTGTCGCCAGCCGAGGCGGAGCCCCTGGTCCGCACCCTCCAGGACCAGAACCGGGCTTTCCAGAGGGAGCTGCTGAGCCTTGGGGAGGAGAACCGCCTCTTGAGAGAGAAGCTCAGCCGCCTGGAGCAGTCGCCGCTGTCGGACACCCTGAGCAGCAGTGGGGGCTGCGGAAGCAGCCTCGCCACCCCCACCACGCAGGAGTCGAGCTTCGGCAGCCCCACGCAGCCTCCCGGGAACCCCCGCGCCAACGGGGGCACAGCCCCCCTGCGGAACTCGGGGTCGTCCAGCAGCGACGTCACCAAGGCGTCCCTGTCCCCGGACGCCTCGGACTTCGAGCACATCGCGGAGGCGCCCTCCAGGCCCCCGTCGTCGGGGAGCCACCCCTCCCAGGCCCCGCAGGACTCCCCCGCCGGGAGCTCCCCCAACAACGCCAGCGACCTCTCGGTGGCCTCCTTGACGGAGCGGATCCAGAGGATGGAAGAGAACCACCACTGCACGGCCGAGGAGCTGCAGGCCACGCTCCAGGAGCTCTCCGACCAGCAGCAGGTTGTGCAGGAGCTGACGGCCGAGAACGAGCGGCTGGCCGAGGAGAAGGCCCTGCTGGAGGGCTCCTTCCGGCAGCACCGCGAGAGAGCCGAGCAGCTCGGCCAGGAGAACGAGAAACTGGCCGCCCTGCTGCAGGAACGGCCGGCCGGCGACGACGGCAAGGCCAAGACCATCCAGGAGCTGGAGCAGCGGTGCGGGGAGCTGCAGGAGAAGGCCCAGTTTGAGCGGGAGAAGCTTCTGAACATCCAGCAGCAACTGACCAGCAGTTTGCGCGGCCTGGAGAGGGAGCACCAAGAAGCCCAGGCAGCCACCCGGGGCCTGCGGGAGGAGGCCGAGCGGCTGGGAGGCCTGCTGGAAGCGGAGAGGCAGGGCGCAGCCGGCCTGGCCAGGGCCCTGGAGGACTGCAAGGTGGCCCTGGAGGGGCTGAGGATTGAAAACGGCTCACTCCGGGCCCAGCTGGACAGCGCCAAGCAGAAGGCAGCAGACATGGACACCGTGGGGCGGGGCGGGGACCCCGGCGCCATGCAGGAGATGCTGAAGGGAGCCCGCGGGGAGAGGGACCAGCTGGAGCTGGCCTGCACGGAGCTCAGGCAGGAGCTGCTGAAGGCGCACAGCGAGGTGAAGACCCTGCAAGGGCAGCTGGCCAAGGTAAGGATTGCTGGGGAGGGGGGAGAGCTCAGCGGAGCCTCCAGATGCAGGGGCAGTCTATCCCTAAATGTCGGCTGCTGCGGAGCAACGCCAGGACTGCTTCCCTGAGGCTTCTGGCTGGCCGTTGTGAGAGACCTAGTGAACCTGCTGGGCTTTTCTTGTGTTGGGTCAGTGCCCCTGGCTGTTGCACCACAAGGTTGGTGGTTCGAGCCCACCCAGGGATGTTGATGTGGGCAGGATTCCTGCATTGTAGGGGGGTTGGTCTAGATGACTCTCGGGGTCCCTTCCAGCTCTGTGAGTCCATACAGTTTATCTACATGCTGCCTTAACCCCGAGGCTCCCAAAGCCAGCGAGCAGCATTCATATGTAAGAATGCAAATTCGATAAAAGCACAATATTTACAGCCATTGAAACAAAATTTTAGAAGCATCAAAATCTTGTAATCAGATAAGGTTTTCCTAGGCACCGTGCTCTGGAGGGTCACAGAAACCTTCCTTTCTAACTTGCTTCTTTGCAGGAGTGAAGAAGTCGACTGAATCACCTTTTCGGTGCTCCTTCCCTCAGACCCTGTTAGGTCCAGACCGCTCAGCATACTGGCTTTCATAGCTCATGTGCATAGAGATTTCTGCTCTCTCAGAGGGCCTAGATCTGTTGCTTTCTGGAGTTTGTCTCGGCTACGTAGCTGGACCCCATTTTCTCGTAGCGGATTTGCACCGTTTGCAAGAGGTCAGCTGCACTGATGCTAACAGGGAAAGGAAGGAAGGACTCTGGTTCCTTGCTCCCTGAATACTGAAAGTTCTGGACAGCGCGTGTAGTTTGGTCCCTCTTGCCCTGTTTTATATACTTGTGAGGCAGTTTCCGCACAGGGCGTTTGCTGTGAAGTAGCCACGCTCTGTTCTCTCCCTCTTTGTGGAGCCATGAGCAAAACAACTCTATTTGGTTTCTCCCTTTCCCCTGGCAGCTCATAAAATCTTCACTGTTTTGATTCAGTTAAATAGAATAATAGAATAGAGTTGGAAGGTACCCAAGGATCATCTAGTCCAACCCTCTGCGATGCAGGAATATTTTGCCCAACATGGGGCTTGAACCGACAGCCCTGAGATTAAGAGCTTCATGCCCAACCAGATGCTGTGGGAAGCCCAAGAACCCTCTGACCTCCTATGGTTCCCAGCTACTGATATTCCAGACTGCCTGATTATGGAGGCAGAGCCAAGCCCTTAACCTCCATGAATTCACCCCTTCCTCTCTTAAGGCCATCCAAGCTGGTCGCCATCACTGTCTCCTGTGGGAGGGAGTTCCACAGTCCAACGGCACCCAGAGAGCCAAGAGTTAGCCACTCCTGGTACAAACAACACGGACACAGGCCGACCAGCGATCTGATTGCATCCAAAGCCTCTCCTGTACATCCAAAATCTGAGCAACACACAGTCACAAGCTCCCTTCCCTGCAGAACTGCATCCGTTTGGACATTTAGCTGAATGACCCTTTTCACTGCAATTGCAGCAATTTCCTCCTTCCTGGTCTAGCCCTTCAGCACTTTCTCCCCCTCCTCTCCCAGACAGATGGACCTCATTAGCAGCTTGGTGGTTTGTTTTTTTTCCAGAGAGAGACCAGGTGCTCTCGCTGTGCTCAGGGAAAGGGGGGAAACACAATGGATGAGTGCATGTTAATTCTCTTGGCGAGTCTCGCACTCGTAACCCAAGCCTGCAATTAACCTTCGCTGCTGCCCTGCTTGGAAACCCCACCTCCCACAGTTAGGGAGCGGCCCGTGGGAAGAACTTTTGCCGGGACGGGGGGAGCTGGGATACCCTGCCAAAAGTCACCACCTGATTTATAGAGAAGTGGAAACTCTAGGTGTGTTTTTGGCCGAGGTTGGAGATGACCGTAGCAAGTGGGAAGGAGTGCGATGGCTGCTGGGCTGTGTGGAAATCTGCAGAGAAGCTGGTGCCCTATTTAAAAATTGTTGTTTAACTGGGGTTTTAGCTGCCGAAATATTTTTAAAAAAACAACAACAACCCACAGAAATCCAAAGTTTCATCTTTTCCTTCCACTTCGATTTGGGGTTCTCACCACCTACATTCTTCTCAGAGTTGAAACCGGTGGACCCATTGACTTCTGTGGGTCTTCTCAGTAATGCTATTATCCCCAGAACTGGGAGTTCTCCTGTCATCTGTTATATTATCTGCCTCCTCCTCCAGATTTAGTTCAAAGCTCTCCTGGTCACATTTGCTAGAATCTTAGCAAGCACATTATTGCCAACTGCTGTGAGGTGCAAGCCCGTCTCTTGCCAGAACTCCTTCTTCAAGGAAGCGGAGACCACGATCCAAGAAGCCAAACCCTTCTTGACAACTCCCAGTATTTCCCCCGCTCTTCCTGGGACACAGCCTTTGACAGGAAGGAGCGATGGAAAGACCGCCTGCATCCCAGGGCCCTTCAGTTACCTGCCCAGAGCCCCATGGTCCCTTCCAACGCCTTGAAGGCTGTGTCTGGCAGTATCAGGAGGACTGGGTTCTGGTCAGTGGGCTTTATAAGACTTGGCAACTTCTTTCTTTTATTGTGAGAAGACAGCACACCTCCCGGGACATCCTCTTCCCTCCTCACACGGCTGCCTCTGTCCTCTATCCTCACCACAAATCTCTTCCAAATGGTCTTCTGAGGTTGGCAACTTGCTGGCCCAAAATCGGCGTCCAAGGTGAGGGCATGGAAATGATTTTGCAACTCTGCTAACACAGCCTGGTTCCTGACAGTCCTGTTTCTGTATATCACACTCCTCCAGAGGTTCGTCTCCTGCAATGAGCGAAGAACTTCCTTTTATCTGTCTCAAATCTTTCAACATTCACCTTCATTGGATGCCCATGAGTTCTGGTGTTGCGAGAGATTATTGCGGCCAGGCTATCCATCCCTGTCCAGGAGCAGCCGGAGGTGGCTAGACCCCCCAAATAAGACAGCAACCCAGTTTATTGGGACAGGCATCACGGAAATGGTCCTTTTCAATTAATTTTTATTTACAGTGGTGCCTCGCAAGACAAAAAGAATCCGTTCCGCGATTCTCTTCATCTTGCGGTTTTTTCGTCTTGCAAAGCAAGCCCCTTAGCGGATTAGCGCTATTAGCGGCTTAGCGGGCTTAGCGGATCAGCTGATTAGCGGATCAGCTGATTAGCGGCTTAGCGGATCAGCTGATAAGCGGCTTAGCGATCAGCTGTTAAGCAGCTTAGCGATCAGCTGTTAAGCGGCTTAGTGGCTTAGCGGATCAGCTGTTAAGCCGCTTAGCGGATCAGCTGATAAGCGGCCTAGCGGCTTGGGAAAAGGGGGGGGAACCCTGCAGGAACTCGCAAGACATTTTCGTCTTGCGAAGCAAGCCCATAGGAAATTCGTTTTGCGAAGCACCTCCAAAACGGAAAACCCTTTCGTCTAGCGGGTTTTCCGTCTTGCGAGGCATTCGTCTTGTGGGGCACCACTGTATTTAAATGGAAGCTGGTGGTCTCTGGGGAATTAAACACCGTGTGCTCTCCACCTGCACTTATCGGTGGCACCTTAGCATCGCACAGTGCAATAATAGAATAATTGTAGAGTTGGAAGAGACCCAAAGGGTCATCTAGTCCAGCCCCCTGCGACGCAGGGATCCTGGTGCGATTTCTCACCCTTTTCTCTCCCTCCGTCCAGACTGAGAAGGAGTGTGCTCAGCTGAAGGAGACCTGCGACCGTCAGGCGGACCAGCTCAGCCGAACCAACCTCAAGCTCCAGGAGAAGACGTCGGAGAACGAGGCCGAGTTCAAGAACCTGAAGGAGACCATCTTTGAGCTGGAAGACCAGGTGGAGCAACACCGGGCGCTCAAACTGCACGACAACCAGATCATCAGCGACTTGGAGAGTAGGTGGAACCAAGGAGGGGGGAAGGATTTAAGACAGTATGTAGAGAGAGATTGCAAGCAGGTTATGGAGTTGGCAGGGAGTGCTTGAGATTCCCGCCCTCCAATAAAGAAATAATTTTCAATTTAGTGCTGCCTGTTTGGGAAGGAAGCGGGGGGGGGGGGAGGCACAGCATGCCTTTCTCTCTCCGCAACAACAAGTGAAGGATGTCGTCAGGCTGCTATCGTAAGCAACAAATATCTGATAAGATGAATGGGGGGGGGCAGGCAGAAGCCTTTTGTAGGGGCAGAAACAGGTTCCAAAAAGAGCCGGTGGTGGTGTAGTGGTCAGAATGTCAGACTAGGGCAACCAGGGTTCCAATCCCCTCTTGGACATGAAGCTCAGTGGGTGTGACTCTGGGCCAGTCACTGCACCTCTCATCCCAGCCTACCTCACAGGGTTGTTGCGTGGGGTTATATGAGGAAGAGGAGAACAACGCACACGCCGTCTTGAGCTCGTTGGAGAAAATTGGTGGGATATGAAGGCAATAAAATAATAAGATGATAGCTGAGTTGGGGCCGGTCGGCATGTGAGATCGCCACCTGCTGGCGAAGCTGTTTTGCAAGCCGGGACAGAAGCAAATTAACTAGGTTAGGGATACGATCACTTAATTGGGGAGTAAGCCCCACTGTATACAGTAAGACTCAACTTTTGAGTAAATGTAGGGTTGTGCTGCCAAAGGTGTTCTGGGCATCAGCAAGTTTTTTAGTGTTTGGACTCTGCTGTGCATTCTTTTAAAACTGCAAGCCGTTTGGGGGGCAGAAATCTGTGCCAGTCTCTGTTGATTATATTGCGTTAAATGGGCCCAGAGGTCTGGCTCGAGATAAGGTCACTTCCCTGTGATACCTTGGCAGTGTCTTCGGTGCCCTCCCTCCCTGTCCTATCTCAGTAGACTCTTCCTATCTTCCCTCTTCCCAGGTAATCTACTGAAAATGGAAGTCCAGAAGACGGATTTGGAAAGGCAACTGAAGACCCTGAACAAGCAGATGAAGGTGAGAAGGGAGCTCACTGGCAGGACACCTGCCTTGCGTGCAGAAGGTTCCGAGTTCAGTCCTTGACAGCATCCCCAGGTGGGGCTGGGAAGGACCGCTCACTCAGAACCACATGGACTGGAACCCCGACAGGTGTCCATCCGACCTCTGCTTAAAAGCCTCCAGCTTTGGAACAAACTCAGGCGTCACCAATACGGCTGTCGCATTTCTGAAACTTAGCACCTGCTAAAAACACTTCTGTTTCAACAAGCCTGTCCAAATGAAAGCCAGTGTAATTTTAATCTGTTTTAGCGTTTTAACTTTTGTATGTTTTAAAGTCGGGCGGTGAATTTGTCTCGATTTTAATGCTTCATCATTTTTAAACCCCTTTGAGGCTTTTTTTAAAAAACAATCAAGCGGTGTTTGAATTTCATTAAATGAATAAGTAAGAGGAGGGTCTCTGCCCGAAGGAGCTTACAATCTAAGAAGAGGCTCCAAACCGGGGGGTTTCCTTCTGCGTCTTCCCTCCCACGCAAAGTGAGAGTGACTGTCTTGTTGTGCCTGGCGTCTACGAGAACTGATGCCAACCGCCCTCCGACCTCCCTGCGGTGATGGCCGCTTTTGTCGGGCGAGTCTCAACCTCTCGCTTCCTCTCCTCTCCCCTCCCTCTTCCCCTCCGTCTCCAGGAGGACACGGCCGAGTGGCGCCGCTTCCAAGCCGACCTGCAGACGGCAGTGGTCGTGGCCAATGACATCAAGTGCGAGGCCCAGCAGGAGCTGCGGACGGTGAAGCGCCGCCTGCTGGAGGAGGAGGAGAAGAGCGCCCGGCTGCAGAAGGAGCTGGACGAGGCCCAGGGCGGGAGCACAAGGTGCGTGGGGCACGGGGCCAGTGGCTTTTTGTAGGGGTCGCAGGCACCCAGGGAAGTTTGCACTCCCTTCGCTGCCCATGCCTTCGCATTCTTTCTCTGTGTGTCCCCTTTTCCAAGCAGGTTCCGTTGCATTTCCTATTTTATTTTTGTATGCAAAGAGCCTGTCTTCCATGTATCGCATGTCATCCGGGGCCCTTTGAGAATCGCCTTTCCCTTTGGCCAACAACACTCTGAATTTATTTCAGTGAACCGCACCAGTTGGGGATGTTCATTGCAGCTTTTACTTACGCAGAACGAAGGTAGACTTCGCGGGCCTGTAAATTACATGGGCTTAGAGAGAGGCATCTCCTTCGCCTTTGCTTTACCTATGCGTAGAAATGAAGGGATGCGGGTGGCGCTGAGGTCTAAAGCACTGAGCCTCTTGGTCTTGCTGATCGGAAGGTCGGCGGTTCGAATCCCCGCGACGGAGTGAGCTCCCGTTGCTCTGTCCCAGCAGTTCGAAAGCACACCAGTGCAAGTAGATAAATAGGTATCACTGTGGCGGGAAGGTAAACGGTGTTTCTGTGCGTTCTGGTTTCCGTCACGGTGTCCCGTTGCGCCAGAAGCTGTTTAGTCCTGCTGGCCACATGACATGGAGAGCTGTCTGTGGACAAACGCCGGCTCCCTCGACCTGAAAGCGAATTGAGCGCCACAACCCCATAGTCGCCTTTGACTGGACTTAACTGTCTAGGGGTACTTTACCTTTTTAGAAATTAAGTCACGTTCTCATAGGGAAAACCACATCTCCCAGGGCTGGATGCCTGCTTCGGCAGCAAGAACAGGGCGCCCACTCTCTATCAAACTGGCCCAAGGCTGAGTTTTTCCTGCACAAACACTCTGAGTAAGCAGATTCTCTTAACAATACCCTTCCACACTCCCTTTTTCCTTCTCTTCACATCCTTCTTCCTCCCACGTGGCCAAGAGGAGGAATGTAGAAATTTCTGCTTTTAATGAACCGCACTTCCCCGTGCCGTCCCAACCAGGAACTGTTTGGGAACTATACAGGCAACTCCCCATTTACATGGGGCTGCCGGGAGCCTGGCAGTGGGACCCTGAAATGAGGAGCACCCTGGAGAGTCCTGGCTCACGAGGAGACCCTCCCCAGAGCCTGAAGAGGGCTTTGTTGAGGCTGCTCAGTCTTCCTGCCAGCAGCTGATGGGCAGGGTGGTGCATTGACCGCTGCCACTTCCTTGCACCTGAGTAGTCTCAGCAAAGCCCTGCTACCCCTCTGGCTCACGAGGAGACCCTCCCTGGACCCCCAAAGAGGACATTATCTTTGGGCTCTCATGAGCCAGAGGCTTGTTGAGGCTGCTCAGCTGATACGCAAATCACTGTCTCTCCAGCTCCTTTCATCTTGTTCCTTCTCATGCGCCTCACACTAAACCATGGTTTGACGGGCTCCACAGTCCAGAGGGTCTCACCCTGCTCATGATCCGGTCCCACTTGTTCCTCCCGTCCCGCATACGCAAGCAAAATGCCCGTCGTCATGGCGAGTGGGATGCGTGCAAAAGTGAGCAAGGGTTTCCAGTATACAAAACACCCTGAGGACAAACTTCAGTTTCCTGCAGGAACACAATTTTTTTAAGGTTGTTCATTTGGTTAATTTGAAGAGCGAACAGCAGCCGGGGGTCAGCTGAGGACCCTCTTCCTTTGCTGGCGTGAAGGGGAACTTGTTCCTAAGGGAAACCAGCGGGGGGGGGGGGGGGCGTCTCTGGTGAAGGTTTATCTTCAGTTGATCTGAAGGGCAGGTTTATCTTCAGTTCTCAGTGGTACTTCTAACTGCGATTTCTTGGTCACACCAGCATGTGGCAGAATGTTGGCAATTGACGTTTTTTAAAGTGTGTGTACGAAAGAGAGAGACTTACCTCATCTACCTTGGGAGTCAGCTACACTTCATTCAAACATGTTACTGAGGTGGGGGTGCCTTGCAAGGGGACCTGACAGATCTGTGAAGGCAAAGGTGAGGTCTTTTCAGTGGCGGTTTGGCCTGATTGGCTGCGTTGAACTTCCAGGATCAGAGGCAGTCTATCCTTGATTGCAGGTTTCTGAAGAGCCCCCACAAATGAGGGCTGCGGCCTTCAGCCCTTGTTTGCTGTAGTTGGTCTAGGCCAGGGTTTCTCAGACTTTGGTCCCCCGCCTGTTGTGGGACCACAACTCCCATCATCCCTGATCACGGGTCCTAATAGCTAGGGATGATGGGAGTTGTAGTCCAACCACAGCTGATGACCCAAGTTAGAGAAACCCTGGCCTGGGCCTTTGGTCTGACCCAGCAGGTCTTGGAGTCATAGAATTGCAGCGTTAAGGAACCCAAAGGGTCATCGAATCCAAACCCTCAATGCAGGGGTCACTGCTAAGCAGAAAACCTCAGCTGCAAGCAATCTGTTGCCTGTTCACACATGCACAGATATGCACACACAACGGAAATGCGATGTGTCTGTCCGCTGGATGCACTCCTGTTCAGACCTGTTCCTTCTTCAGCATTTCCAGGTCAGGAGATGCAGATGGTTTTTCCTGCCAGGTCCATGATATGGAAAACATGAGATGAGGAACTATCTCTAAAAAAAACCCCCTCAAGCCTCACCTGGTTCTCCCAAAGGGCGTGTTTTCTGTTGAAGGAGTCTCGCTTTATCAACCTGCCTCTCTTGTCTGTTTCGCTCGGTGTTCTCCCCACTTTCCCCGCCTCTGTCCAGCTTCCTTGTCGTATCGCAAATTTGATTGCACAGTGGAACCGCCAAGCAGCCAGAAGCGCCGAAACCACCCTGATTCTGCCGACTTTTTTTAGTCCGTAACATTATTTATTACGCGTTGCAGTGGGTCTGGCCCACCCCGCCCTTGTGGGGCAGATCAGCCTACTGCATCTCTGGGCGTGTGTTGGAGGGGGGCAGTTATTTGTCCTCCGCAGACAGCGATACAGCTAGAAACCTCAGCTCTGCGGCAGGACTTGGCGGTGCAAATTTGCATAATTTATTTTGCACAATTCACATAATTCTGGAGTGAAGAGAGGTATGAAGGCTCTGAACCTCCTTTCCTCTGACCCCCTCTGCGTGCTTTCAAGAATATCTCTGCCCATCCATAGGGACTAGCAGCTTGCTTTTTCTTTTTGTGAAGGAAAGCTGAAGTCCTCAGTCTACACAGCCTGTCCTGGCCCCCCAAAACTAGCCTCCGGCACCTCAAGGGCAGTGGAGGACGCTGTCTTGCCACCTGCGTCAGGGTAAAACTGAGCTGCCGCTCCTGTCGGCCTCTCTGTGGGGGTGCTGTCATTGTGCCCTTCGCCCCAGGCAGCAAACCGCCTGCCCTTTCCAGCTTGTCCTTTCACTTCCTTCCGACTTCTTTCCCACAACAACACCAGCCCCCCTTTCTCTCCGCCACTTTCACTCTCACATTCCCTTTCGTTCCCGGAGAGGATACAGAGCGCAAACCCCCGAGGTCTCCAAAGCACACCTGAACTGAAGGTAAGAGGTTCTCTGGCGGTGCAAAGGGCAAAAAACCCACCCCTCACGCCTGCTCCCAGCCCTAACAACTCTCTTCCTTCCCACATTTTTTTTTGCTCTTTGCACATGCCCTGAAGGCTGCATTGTGCTTTAACAATTTTATTTCCATTTGTTTGCTTTCGTTGCTTTTTTAACCTCCCTTTCTCTCTTCTAGAGTCCAGCTTTGCGCTCTGTGTGTGTACTAAGCCCCCTCGTCCGCTGGTGTCTCCCCCTCACGTCCCGTTCCGTGTGTGTCGCGGCTGTCCCGTCTTGCAGAGGCTTGAGAAGGCTGCCGGGCTCTCGCTTTTAACAGTCGCTCCCAAAAATGGGGGGCGGGGAGGGGAGCCCCCTTGTTTAACACCCCCCGTCTCCCTCTTGATCACAGTTTCAGAGGAGCCTGTCTGGAGCGGAGAAGAGGTTTGTTTCGCAGGCGTGATTGGGTTCAACAGTGGTGTGGGTTATTATTTACTATTAATCATTTATTTATTGCGTCATTTTCACCCGAAGGCCCAGGGGTGCCTTAAAAGCAATTTAAAACAACTTGCAGCCATAAAAATAAGGTGTAACCTCACGTGTCAATAGCCAGAGCAAAAGAGGCGTGCCTTCGGCATTCCCCAAAGGCTGTGCAGTGAAGGGGCCAGGCGCCACCTCTGTGGGGAAGGAGTTCCCCAGCTTGGGGGCCATCCCAGAGAAGGCCTCGCTGAGGGTGGGGGAACCACCAAGAGGGTCTGTAGGGAAAGAGGCCGTCTATGAAGATATTTGGGGCCTGAGTCGTTTAGGCCTTTAAACACCAAACGGATAATGGTACAAAAAACTGGGCAGAGTCAAAGGCTCTTATTTTGGCAGGAGTCTTGACCATTGTCGGAGGCGATGAGAACTTTTCCAAGGAGGGCCGAGAAGCTGACAATTAAAAAAAAAAATGTTCGAAATCCAGAGAGGGAAGTTGTGTGTATTCTGTCTCAGCAACCCACACAACTACTCCTCCCTCATGCGAAAAATGGGCCTCAGGGCTGCCTTGCAAAAAGCAAAGTTCTTAGTCAACAGCAGCAAATCGTTGCTCCCGTCTGCCTCTGATTTCCCATGGATGGTCTGTAAAGGGGCTGTGGGATGAAGACCACCCCGCTCCAGTTTGCAAGCACTTCCCAGCCTGGTCGCCTGGAGAATGGTTCCCCCTGCCACAGGCGACTCCCGGTTCCCGTCAGGCAACAGGGTCAGGGACAATGGGAGCTAAACGCGGAATGCATGGGCCTTCTGGACATTGTTGGACTCCAGTTCCCATCATCCCTGACCACTGGGCATGCTGGCTGGGGCTGGTGGAAGGAGGGAGTCCACTGACATCTCATCCTCAATGGAGGCAACGCTGCGTGAGCTTGATGCGCCAGTGGCCTGGCTCAGTATACTTTTCAGGTGTGGGGGGTTTCAATTCATCCATTTTTTTGGACTCCACATCCCTTAAAGCCCACCTTTGGTCTCCCTTTCTCTTTCCACAGA